TGCTCCCAGCATTTTCAAGTGCCTTATGAACCAGGTATTTCGGCTCTTTATTGGGAAATTTGTTGTGGTTTACTTTGATGATATCCTGGTATATAGCAAGAATGAACAGGAGCTCCTAGACCATCTTCGACAAGTTTTTGAAGTCCTTAGAGAGCAGAAACTTTATGCTAATCTCAAGAAGTGTTCATTCCTCACTACAAGTGTGACATTTTTTGGATACATCATCACTGCTCAAAGTATCAGGTGGACCCCAGTAAGATGGATGCTATTGTCAATTGGCCTACAGCAACATCCATGCATGATGTTCGAAGTTTCCATGGCTTGGCATCTTTTTACTGGAGATTCATCAAGAATTTCAATTCTATTGCCACCCCAATCACTAACAGCATTAAAGGTGACCAATTTTCATGGAGCGACAAAGCCCAAAAGAGTTTTGAAGAATTGAAGAGGAAGCTCACTGAAGCCCCTGTACTTGCACTTCCCAACTTTGACTTGATGTTTAGAGTAGATTGTGATGCTTCTAATGTTGGAATTGGTGTAGTGTTAAGTCAAGAAGGATGACCCATTGCCTTCTTCAGTGAAAAGTTGAATGACACAAAGCTCAAATATTCCACTTATGACAAAGAATTCTATGCAATTGTTCGAGCCTTGGAGCATTGGAGTCATTATCTTCTTTCAAAAGAATTTATGTTGCACTCTGACCATGAGGCATTGAAGCACTTGAATTCTCAATATAAGATCAGTCGTCGACATGCTGCTTGGAGTGAATTTCTACAAACTTATCCTTTCTTCCTCAAATATAAATCTGGAGTCCATAATCGCATAGCTGATGCTCTTAGTCACCGACATGCCTTGCTTACTTCCTTATAGATGAAAGTCACTAGATTTGAAGTGATCAAGGAGTTGTATGAGGATGATCCTGATTTTAGCAGCATTTGGGAAGCCACTTCTAATCAAGCCTTTCAGCAATATCATCGCCAGCAAGATTACCTCTTCAAGGGTAATCAACTATGTGTTCCACGTTGCTCACTCTGAGATTCAATTATCTGGGAAGCACATAATGGTGGATTAGCTGGTCATTTTTGGAGAGACAAGACTTTAGCTTTTGTTAAAGAAAATTTTTACTGGCCAAAGTTGGAGCAGTATGTCATTCATCACATTCAAAGATGTAAAGTTTGTCACCAAGCCAAGATAATCAATCAGAACACTGGGTTGTATCTGCCATTGCCTATCCCAACATCACCTTGGGAAGATGTTAGTATGGATTTTGTCCTTGGTCTACCACGAATCCAACGAATCAAGGATTCTATCATGGTCATGGTTGATAGATTTTCTAAAATGGCTCACTTTATTGCTTGTCAAAAAACTAATAATGCTTTTCTCATTGTTGAGTTATATTTTAAAGAGATTGTGCGTCTACATAGAGTTCCAAAGACTATCAATTCAAATAGAGATGTGAAGTTCATGAGTCATTTTTGGAGGACTTTATGGAGAAAGAGGGGCACTCAACTCCAGTTCAGTTCTGCTAGCCATCCCCAAATTGATGGTCAAATTGAAGCTATCAACAAGATTTTGGGGAATCTACTATGAAGTTTTGTGGGAAAGAATTTGCGACAATGTGATCTTGTGCTTGCCCAAGCTGAGTTTGCCTACAACAACTCTTGAAATCAAGCTATAGGAAAATGCCCATTTGAAGTAGTATATGGAGTGTGTCCTCTTAATCCTTTAGATCTTTCTCCATTGCCCACATCCCGAAAATTTAGTGTAGATGTTGAACAACGAGCCAAGAAGATTAAGAAAATTCATGAAGAAGTTTGTGAGAAGCTGCAACATCAAATCATTAGGTATAAGGCTCATCATGACAAGCACCAAAAGAAGGTCGTGTACAAAGAAGGAGATTGGGTTTGGATACACCTTCAAAAGGAAAGGTTTCATGATCGACCTAATGCCAAACTCTCCCCTAGAGCAGATGGTCCTTTTCAGATAGTGGAGAAAATCAATGATAATGCCTACAATATCAAACTTCCAGGTGACTATGGAGTCTCTGCTACTTTCAATGTTGTTGACCTATCTCCTTACTATGAGGATCATGAGCATTGAACTCAAACTCAAGGATGAAGTTTCTCCAACTAAGGGAGAATGCACCAAGGGAAAGCACCAGGAAAGTGCACCAGGATTGCAAGTCAGCGATTTTCAAACTATACTATAGCAACATTGCAGACTATAAATAAGCCGGTGCAATTTTGTAAAAAATGGCCACTGAATTCTACAAAGACGGCTAACTCCCAGCTACATTTTTACTTTTCATTTATTGCCTTGTGTTAGATTTCACCTATAAATAACCATGTTCCTTCCATTGTATGGATTGGTTTTATCAGTTAATCAAGTTTCAATTCTCCTCTGTTTTGAGTGAGTTTCTTGGGAGTGAATTCTCTCAATTTATTTTTGTATCTTAGGTTTTGCCAACCTAAGTGGTGTTCCTGGCAATCGAATTCATCGTAATGAGATTTTGAATCTCGTCAAAATCAATGTTTCGGTATTGGCTCCTACGCCAAAAAATATGCATGGATGATTGAAAAACAACTTATTTAGTTGTTTTCAGCTAACGGTCGCCAACAAAGAAATGCATAAAGCATAGATGAAAAGCCTTTTATGCTATTATGCATCTTTTTCTCAAGACAACAATTATTAAATTGTCCTCTTTCTAGCAAATATCCATTATTTGTTTCCAAGAATCAACACTCCTTAGGCTTATAGACCAGCATTTCATAAATTAACCAATGACCACCGAGACTGAGAGGATGATAAGTTAAAAAATATATATCACAGAAGCACAAAGTCATCCAACTCTGGCATCAAGCAGAGTGAGCTACCCAATGGCAAGCAAATTTAAGCACCATAAAACTTATCCTGGACGCACTAATTAGATCCTTAGAAGATATTGATGATCCAAATACACGAGCAGCTCCCTGAAATATTGCTTAAAACAATATTCAACATCTCTTTAAAGATAAGAGACTTAGTCAAATATTTGGTAAGAGTCCCATCATTCAATACCATCCATGCAATGTGTTATAAGAA